TGCGTGTGTTGGTGTGGGTGTGTGTTGGGAATGCACGCATATCTAATGTAACACAGCACTTGTCTCGGTACCGAGCAAACGAAGATATGCCAGCAGCGTGTCCAGCGCAAACAGCTCAAATGGCGACCCAAGTGGTTGGGCAGGACGTGTGAGGGCAGTTGTGTGCTCGGTGGGGAGCCGAAACGCACACTCGCTGCTCGTCACAGCTGTTTGTGCCAACAACGCAAGACTCAATCGCTGGTGCTGTCGCTGAGCCGTCTCTGGCTCTTGTCGCTGTTGCTGCTGTCGCTGTTGCGAGTGCTGATGCTTCTGGCTGTGAAGCTGTGCGAACGGTGCTGCAGGTGATGGTGAGGGTTGGTTGTGTTGTGATTGAAAGGATCCTGACAGCAGCTCGAACAACTCCGGGTCATCGATGTCGATGTGTGCGTCGTGTTCATCGGGACCCTCGCGACCTCCGCTGCCAGTTCCGTTGCTGTCCACATTTTTGCTGCTGTTGCCGTTGCTGCTGCTGCTGCTGCTGCTGGTGCTGCTGTGTGGAGCACACCTGTCATTGGTTGCTGTCAGCTGTGCCGGCATGGGTGGCAGATGGTGCTGAAGCAGCACGAAAGGGCACACGTGCCAGCAGGCGCAGGCTGCAGCAGGTGTGGGCCCCTTTGGCATGTGCTCTTGTGCATCGCAGCCAACTTGCCCACCAGCAGTGAACAAAGAGTGCTCGTGAGCAGGCAGTCCAACAGCCAGCGCGCACGGTGCGCTCTCCACACCATCCTGCGCACTTCTGCTCGGCGTGCAACTGTGGAAGAAGACAAGCAGCAAGAGCACACGCCACAGCAAAGGCAGCTGCTCGGGTACACCTGCCAACAGCCATAGCTGCTGGGACGCCTGCATGCTGCTGCCGCCGCTGGTGCTGCCGCTGTTGTCCGCTGTGACCATGTGTACCAGGCGATGGGTCACGTCTGTGATGTCGATGGTGCCGGTGCTCGCCTTGCACACTGTATATGCCGTCCAGAGCTGTTGCTGTGCGCGAGACAACGGTGCATCAATCGCCGTGCTGGTGTCGAGCTCTGCTTGCAGTCGCCGCAGCACACGTGCCCTGGCGCATTCTTCAGATCGCTTGCAACTCACGCACGGCGATGCGTGCTCCTCGCTCGTCAACGATGACAGTGAGCGCAAGGACTGCACAGCTTTGACCAGTGCTTGCTGCTCGTGCACCTTTAGTGTGTGCGTCAGCTGTGCGTGGAACTCGGCTTTGGTTGGTGCAACCGTATGCAGTGCTGACAGATCCCTGCAACATGCAGCACAGCCGTGAGCCGTTCATTGTGTGTGTGTGTGTGTGTGTGTGTGTGCGCGCGCGCGCGCGCGCGAAAGTGTGTGCCATTGTGTTTGTGTGGTTGGTGCGTATTTGCGAGAGAGACAGAGAGTGTGTATGTGAGTGTGTGTGTATGTGTATGTGTGCGTGTGTTTACATATGAATGGCGTACCTGCGATGCAGCCGGTGCACTGTGGCGTAT